CAATGGCTCCAAAAACGACCCTGGAATGCCCACACGAAGGGCCTGGCGTGGTGGGACGGTCCCTCCCTCACGAGATCCTCAGGGAGTTGGTGGAGCCATTTCCTGAGATTTGAGGCAACGTGGTCTAGGATTGGAGCCGTTGGATCTTTCAGGTCCCCCCTGGGAGGACCCTCACAGAAATATGTAAATATCCCTATGTAAATATCCCTAAACCCTAAACCCTGAACCCTAAACCCTGAACCCTAAGCCCTGAACCCTAAACCTCCCATACCACCTGCGACGCGACGATGGTCAAACCCTAAACCTAATTTGCGTGATTTGTATTCAAACTATGGATATGTAAATAACCCTGAACCCTAAACCCTAAACCCTGAAAGTTGAACCCTAAACCCTAAACCCTGAAAGTTGAACCCTACACCCTAACCCCTGAACCCTTAACCTCCCACACTACAGGGGTACCTCGCTCATAAGAAACCGCCCCCCCCTAGGACCCTACAGTAGGCCTATCCCTAGGGCCCTACGGTGGTCCTAGGGGGGGGGGCGGTTTCTTATGAGCGAGGTACCTACAGGGCCTACTGTAGGGTCCTGGGGGGGGGCGGTTTCTTATGGGCGAGGTACCCCTGTACCTGCACCGCGCCGAGCGACCGTGAAACCTTATCTCAGAAAACGAGTTCTAAAACTCGTTTTCTTAAGTCAATTCCTCTACAAATTTGTCGGCTTATGCGGAGAGTAAAGAACAAGTTGACGAATTTGTAGGGGAATTGACTTAACAAAACGAGTTTTAGAACTCGTTTTCTGAGATAAAACCAAGGGGGTCTAAAGTTACCTATGTTCAATCCTATTCTCTTCAGTTATTGTCGAAATGGGCTCCGCGCGGAAAAAATCGAGGTCAGGTCAGGAAGAATTTTTCGTTTTTTTGCCTTTTTGTGTCATCTTATGGGTGGGAGATGCTATTTTGACATAAAAACCATGCCTAAGATAGCATAAAAGTCTATTTTTTGGAAAATTTCCCGATTTCCTGACCTGACCTCGATTCCGCGCGAAGCCCATTTCGACAATACCGATCGTTACGCCCGATTCTCCATGGTACCCTCAACGCCCAGCCCTGAACTCTGAATCCTAAGCCCCGAACCTCGCAAACGCGCCGAGCGACGTTAGGAGGGTTCTAGCTCTGCCTCGGTCGGGTTGGCGGACTATTCTCAAGTTGATATGCTCGGTGAGCGGTACAAATCCGTCAACTTTGGAGCGGAAAATATTTTTCAAATCAATTTATTCGTAGGACCCTACGGTAGGAAACCCTAGAGACCTCGAACTGCTGACGGGAGATACTGATGAGATCTCATCGGTTTAGCTGAAACGTACTACACTACCCGACCCGGTTACAAGCTGCTACGGGTTGCTGGTGGACAGAGGTAGGGGCTCCCACCCCGCGCTTCGCGAGCGCAGCCACAACCTCCCCCTGCTCTTTGACCAGCTCGGCCTCCCGCTCCTGCTCCCCCAGGTCCGCATGCTTTCAAAACAAAGAAGAAATACATTGGTCAAACCGCCAGCGCACCAAGCGCCGAGTGCCATCGTGGACCCTTTCCCCTGGTACATTCGGAGCGCGAAAGATCCTGCTCTCAACAATGGTGATGCCAAATAGACTTGCGACAGAGCTGGACCTTGGCGAGGGCGGCGAGGCGCTCGGCGCGTTGCAGGCGGAGGCGGAGATGCGAAAGCCGCTGGAAGTCCCCCACCAGCACCTCCTCCAAGGATGTCACCTGCGGATCACAGCCCGTTGACTGATCCCCGCCAGTGCACGGTGGGGATCCCGGCGATTTTGACGATGATGGCGGGGGGAGGCGTACCTCCTTCTGCAGCCACGTCGTCCCGTCCTGGTGCACCTCTGCGAGACCCTCGTCCTCCTCCTGCATCCTGCCTGGCTGTCGAGGCTGGCTAGCTGCTGATGGGCAAAGAAGCAGAACGCGTTCGCCCAGCTCCCCCTGCGGAACCCTGATGGTTCCGGAGGAAGCAGAGGCGGGCCCGTCCGGCCACAAACCCCGAAAGTGATCAAATTGGGGATGTGTCTGAAGCAGTTTTCTGCATGAAGCGGTCCGAAATTGAACCAAGCCTGCCTGAAAAATAAAATCCAGAAATCAAGATTTGTTCCACTTCGGGGGCGGCCTAGACCGAAGAAAAATCCGTTAAAACTGCTTCAGCCACACCCCCAATTTGATCACGGTCCAGGCTTAGGTCCTGCAGCGTCCTGCGGTCGCCCCTGGACCGGCGCCTCCGTCTTGCGCTCCCCGAGCGAGCTCCCAAGTAGGCGACAGCTGCTTCCCCCCTGAGGCAGAGAGGAGGGGCAAGGATCTCTGGTGACTCCCCTTGATCTATGGGGTTCCTTGTTGTCAGCAACGGTTCCCACCCGTCCCCAACCGCTCCTCCCTTGTCAAGAGCGAGCGCTAGCTCTGTCCCGCGCACGATTGGTTCTGATCCAGTGCTCTGTCCCGCGATGGCGCTCCCACGGTCCGCTGACCGAGGTCGTTCGCTGGTCCTATGGATCAACGGTCGAGAGTAGCGTGGCCTACGCACCCTTGCAAGCCAGCCCTCGAAAGCGCCCCCCCCCCCCTGACCTGCGTCGTGGAGAACACTGCCAACGAAGTACCAAGCTCCTCCTGAGTTAATCTCACCTCCTCCCAATGGGAGACCGGAAGTTTTTCCTCGGGTTTGTGTGGTGTACACTACGCTGCCACCAACCCTCACGGAGGGACCAAATCGTCGATTTTGAACCTCCGTTTTACCCGGGCAGCCAGGCGAATTCGCCTGTGGTGGAGCCATTTTCCATAGGAATTGGGAAATTAAAAATCATCGACTTGGTCCCACCGTGAAGGTTAGTGGTGCCCTCTGCCTTACCACGTTGACCACCAGTGTGTGCCAGGATGGTTTCGTTGAGGCACTGTGCGGGGTGCTGGACACACCCGGTGTGGTGCAGGGCGCATCCTGCTGCCCAGACTGGCGAGAGGATACCAGGCGCACAAACGTTACGGAAGGGCGTGTCGTTGGCATATGTTGGCAGAAATTAAAACCTAAAGGACCTAAAGGATTTGCTTTTGGGTTGGGGTACCTTCCCTTTCGCCGTGAGCCCTTCACTTTCGAGGCCTCGCTGGACGCATTAAGTTGATGGATCGACGTCATGCGCTCAAAAAAATCTCTTTATGGACCTTAATAGGGTAACGGCCTGAACATGGGGTAGTTAGGCCTACGGCATTGCCTCTACCGTAGGCCGACACTTTTTGGTCCTAGGATCCCTCGGCCTACGGTAGGAGGTCCTAGGCAATGCCGTAGGCCTAACTACCCCATTTTCAGGCCGTTAGCCTATGAACCTGGGTCCATGCGTTAACTTTCCGTGCGGCAGATGCATGGACGGTATGCCTGTTCCTTTGAAATCCCGAAATCGGGATTTCAAGGGGGTTGCAGTCGGAATCCGACTTCAACGGCTCCAATTCCCCTTGAAATCGGGAAATCGAAAATCGTCGATGTGCCCAAGCCGTGAGGGTTAGTGGCATACGCTCAACAAATTCTCTTTATGAACCTTAGTCGATGCGTTAACTTTCCGTGCGGCAGATGCATGGACGTTATGCCTGTTCCTTCCCCCCCCCCCCCCTCAGTTTCGGGGCACTGCCACAACAAGCTTCTGAGCTCGTGCAAAACAACCCTGAGAGGACAGGCCTGAGGAGATAGCAGATTTTGCGTGAACGGTACTACCACTTTTCGAGCCACCTCCAAGCGCTAGTGGGAGGAGATAGCAGATACCACAGGGGAACCTAGCTGAACGGTACTACCAAAACGGCAGATGCAAGCGTATCGGACATGGGGCTCAACCACGGGGGACGTGTCGCCAAGGTAATCTCCTTGCAAGTATTAATTAATTACTTTTGGCAACGAAAATTACTACACGGTTTGCTCATAAAAGTGATAGTGAAGCGTTTGTGTAGTAAATTTCGGTGCACCAAAAGCAGTTAATTAATACTTTTGTGGAGATGAAAGGTCTAGCTCTCATCCGGGAACATGTTTAATCTAAAAGAAAATGGACTGTCAAACCGGAGTGCGCCCTAATTAAATTTACTTAGGGCCCTAATTGACCTTCTTCCAACTCCTATGAACACATAGTGGTTCATTTTCTTTTGGGGCTCAACCACGGGGGGCGTATTGCCAAGGTCTCCACCAGCAACCCGTAGCAGCTTATAACCGGGTCGGGTACTGTAGTAATTTTCAGCTGGACCGATGAGATTTCACTGAATCTCCCCGTCAGCAATTCCAAGGTCCCTAGTCCCTCCTACCGTCGGGTCCCTACGCAAAAATCAAAAAAGAACTCTATTCCCGGGACGTATCGCCGAGGTCTCTACTGCAAAGCCACAGGAGACTTCTCAAATTCTTGGACACGACACTGAAATTATTTGTAGGTTTCCTTTTGACCGAATTTTTGGTCACGTCCTTGTGGTGGAAATTGCCTTTTGAGGGAGAAATGGCTCCAAAGTAGGCGACAGGATCCTGTCGTCTACTTTTTGAGACTTCCCTTGTGGCTTTGCAGTAGTTAGCTCTGTCTCACTTCACTGCTACCCAGGGTATTTTACCTTAAGTCAACAAAGCTGATGATCGGCAGTAAGTTGCCATTTCGTTTAGATGGACCTGCTCTGGGAGCAGACATTTGACTTCAGGCACTGGCTTTCAGGGGGAGGAGTTGACTTGGGTGAAATGTTCTGGATCAGAGTGCACTGTATTTGCTCTCACCAGTTCGTTGAGACCAGGCTCATTTTCGCTCCAAAGCTAACGGATTTTTTTACAACCCCAGAACGTCAGCTTGTGAATAGTCGGAGTTAGTTTCCGCTGTGAGTTTCCCTCCAGGTCGTGCCCGTACTAACTTTTTATTTTAAAAGGACGTGCCCCGTACAAATGAGGACGCGACAAGGATGTGTCAGCACTTTTTACTCAACTGATATGGCCACCTTGGAGCCATTTACACCAGCGTAGCTCAGTGGATAACGCACACGGCTAATAACAGATAGGTTGTGCGTTCGAGCCCCGTCGGGGTCGTCAACTGAGGCAGAACTAGAGATTTCATACGCAAACACTTATAATTTATAAACTGGGTTCAATGAAATTTACTACACATAACGAGGTTTACATGTAATATTACAGCAAACGTGTAGTAATTTTGCTTGGATTTCAAGCTCATTCAAAAACACTTATAATTGGTTTATAAATTAAAAGTGTTTTTGTATGAGATTCCCTCCCCGGGATGTTTCCGTTGAGCCTGATGCTACGGTGCATCCACAAGTTGTTTTCTCAGTCTATTTGGGCCCACCAGTTTCGTGAGACAGGGCTCTTTTCCGCTCCAAAGTTGCCGGGTTTGTACCGGGAACCTGGGGTGTCAACTTGAGGATAGTCGGCCAACCCGAGTGATGCAGAGCCACACGCAGCGGACTTCGAAGGGGTTTTGAATGACCCCTAAGCGATACGACCTGCAACCCTACGGTAGGCAACCCGTAGAGACATAGGGGGGTTCCTATCCGTAGGGTCGTAGTTCTTATCCGTTCAGCCTGATGCTACGGTGCATCCACAAGTTGTTGTCTTTGGTATCCGTTGAGGATGTGCTTCACCAGCCAAAAGTCGACGGCGCTGGTCCTTGGCCACACAGCGGGCCACGAAGGGATTTTCGGCCCATTTCGGGCCGAGTTTCCGTTACCTTATCCGTAGGAACCCCCCTATGTCCCTACGGGTTGCCTGCTGTAGGGCCCTAGGTCTGATCGCTTAGGGGTTATTCAAAAATCCCTTCGAAGTCCGCTGTGTGGATCGCTCACGTTTGGGAGTGTTCCATTGCCTCACGGTGTTCTTGGACACCAAAGCTTGAACTGCCTGCTAATCGTCCTTGAGCGATAAGGCCTAGGGCCCTATAGCAGGCAATTCGTAGGGACATAGGGGGGTTCCTACGGATAAGGTAACGGAAACGATTGGACGATCATCGCGGATAAGCAAAACTTGAAGAGCCTGCTATCTCATCCGGACGAGTATTTATGATAAATACGCACCGGCAACGAAATTTACAACACAAATGCTTTAATAGTCACTAGTACGGTCCATTTGTGTGGTAAATTTCGTTGCAGAGGCGTATTTATCACAAATACTCGCCGCGATTATATCGCGGATAAGCCGGGCAAGAAGAGCATTGCGATGCTGAGGGAAGACGCGTTGAACGTCTTCTTGAGCTTGAACGAACTCAACTTGAGCTTGGACGAACTCACGCGCAAGTGAAGAACCAGGTTGAAAGAACGCCGTGTGGCATTGGACGCCGTGTGGCAAGGTGTCTTTTCAACCTGGTTCTTCCCTCGCGCGTGAGTTCGTCAAGGTGGACGCCGTGTGGCACTGGACACCAAAGCTTGAAGAGCCTGCTATCTCATCCGGACGAGTGATTATGATAAATACGCACCGGCAACGAAATCTTCATTGCAATGCTCTTCGTCGAACGCTTGAGTTCGTTCAACGGATTCAAGCGTCTGGACACCAAAGCTTGAAGAGCCTGGTTTAGGGTTTCAAAATTTACAACAAAAATCCTTTAATAATTAACTCAACTTGAGCTTGAACGAATTCAAGCGCAAGTGACGAACCAGGTTGGAACGTCGGTTAATTAAATGTCCTTGGAATCGCTCACGGTTGGAGGTGTTCTATCGTGTGCCACCAGATAGCGAAACCACGCTAACGACTCCGCTCTCGCTCTGCAGAATCGGGTGGCCACCAGATAGCCCAACCGCGCTAACGACTCCGCGTCTCGCTCAACGTAACTGACTTTACTGAAAGTATGACGCCATACCACACACGTAATGCGTCCAGAGAGGGTTCGAAGGTGGAGGTCGCACGGTTCATCAGAGAGAGAGTTGCTTCATTGAAAACGAACAGCGGGGCGGGACGACAGAAACCCCCAAATCTGCAGCCCGTACTGACTACTAGCGCTTACGTATCTCGCTTGGAATCGCGCACGGTTGGAGGTGTTCCATCGTGTGCCACCAGATATTCAAACCGCGCTAACGACTCCTCTCTCGTTCAACGTAACTGACTTTACTGAACGTGTGACGTCGGACCATAAACGTAATGCGTCCAGAGAGGGTTCCAAACCGCGCTAACGGCTCCTCTCTCGCGCTGCTTCTAGAATCGGGCGGGACGTGCGGGTCACGCGGGACGGCTCTATGATGGCCTGCCTCGCCGACAGGTCTGCTCCTTCAATTTCCAGAATCTGTCCACATTTATGCTATTTTAAGCCTTGGTTTTATGCGTAAAATAGCATGTGCACCCGTATCGTAAGCTTTGGAAGCCTAAGATAGTGGGGCTGATTCTGGCATCCCCCAAAATTAAATTGCGTCAAGACCACGCCAGAGCGCTCGAAACATCCACTTTTGACAGTTTTCAAGGGAAAGCCCTTGAATTCTTAAGTCAACCGCGACAGATCTGTCGCGGATAAGGCGTCGGTTTCCCTCGATCATTCTGGCGTGGGAGCTTCTTGTCTCGAAACTCTGTGAACTACAGAGGGCGAAACGATATTCAACAGTCAATTTTCAGTTGAAAACGGCTCCGAGGTTGGGCCAACGGCTCCAAGAACGGACCTCGGATAACCCTCGAAGGGCCTTGCGTGGAACCGCTCTGTGGGGAATAGATTTCATCCCGCCAGGCATTTAAATTAAATGCTCGAAATGCATACTTTTGGCGTCAGATTCTGTCTGAAGTGGCCAAATTGGCAACTTCTGGCAACTTCTGACGCCAAAAGCATGCGTTTCGAGCAATTAAATTCAATCCCTGGGTGGATGAGATTATCCGAGTTGAAGGAGAGGCGCAGGTGAAAAACCATTCGAATCAATTTCAGGGTCATTCAGCATTCCGAATTGCCCACAGTAGTGTTACGCGAAACGACTCGCCATAAGTCATGGAGTTGACTTTGGGACGACTCTGAGGCTAATATCGCACGCTACGTGACCAACTTGATGGTTAACATAGCACGGAACCCACAAGAGTGCTTCTGCAATGCTCTCCTGGTAGTGTTGATATTTGTTGATGACGTCCTGGCGGATAGTTGAGTGTGCCTCGCTGACAGGTTTCTCTCCTGGCCACTTAGCAGCCATCAGAGGCTTCTCGGATACAGTCCATCTAAACTATTTTTACTAGAATCTTGTCCGTTGCCCTAGAAACTAACCGGAATTTCACCTTGGATTCAAGGTGAAAAGGTCCTCGGTCGCTGCTAAGTGGAAAAGAGACGCCCGTCACTCAATTCAAATTCCCCTCAAATTATCGTTTAAAGATGCTTTAATCTTTTTTTAGTTCCAAAAGATGCCTTTTAAACCCAAATTCGTTTTAAAAAGAACAGATGGACAGGGCGGGCCAAGGGGTCGCAGTAGTGGGAAGGAGGCGCTCGTCACTCAATGGCTTAGCAATCGGGATTCTGGCACTTATTAAATTTAGCGAGGGCCCTAACTAACCTTGGTCCAACTCCGGTGTCAATTAAGAGAAATGTTCAGTACGAATCAACATGTTCCTGCATTAAGTCCCACCTCGACCAGGGCGTCGATGTCATTCCAGCCAGAGGAAAGGTACCGTAATCCCTCGCATTACGTCCCAAAGTGGTCGGTTCGTGGTACAAATAATAGAAAGACTATTATTTAGAAAGACTATTAATAATAGAAAGACTATTATACAGAAAGACTCACCAGCTCAACCCTAGGCTCTTGCGTGGAGGTTCTCAAGTCCCTGCACTTCGGCCAGGGCGTCGATGGTCACGTCTAAAGAAGAATAGTCGGTGAACCCAACTGAGGCAGAGCAAGGCCTTGTCGGGAATTAGTAACGGGCGCCCGGTGTGTCCTTTCCACGACTAGGGGTGCTAGGAACACGCAAGGCAGTCACGACCGACCGTCTGGCTTCGGCGTCCGTTCACGAGCCTGCCGGCGGGGCTGTTCCCGCGAGGCACACTGAACTATCCGCCAAAACACCCTCGGCCAGGGCGTCGATGTCGTTCCAGCCAGAGGAATGGTACCGTAAAGATCCGGGATCCGACATCCTCCAGATCCTGGCATACATGAAATACCGCCTCCAATCCCGCTCGGTGCGTTCTCCCCCGCCCTGAGAGCAGGAGCAAATCGCTTTTTTCGATCCCCTTCATTTGCACTGGAGGTCGCCGGATTCCGACGACCTGTGGTACAAATCAGGGCTCTCGAGAATGTCGATTTGCTCCCACTCTGCGGGCTGGTGGGTGAGGTAGCAAGGACATCTACCAGCCCTCACTATAGAACTAAATCTCATACGCAAACACTTATAATTTATAAACTGGATCCAATGAAATTTACTACATATAACGATCTTTATTAGTAATAGTAAAGAAAACGTGTAGTAATTTTCATTGACATCAAGTTTATAAATTGTTAGTGTTTCCATATGAAATCGTCGATTTTGGGTTGTAGATTTACCCTTGATTTACCCTCGCAGAGACCCCGGATCTGGGGTCTCTGCAAGGGTGAATCTCGAGTCTAAAATCGATGATTTGGTCCAACCGGGAGGGTTGGTGGATGCTACAGATCTTTGCGTACATGAAATAGAGCGTTTGCGGTAATTGTTGTCCGTTTTTGACGTGCGGTTTTCCGGTTTTCTGGTTTTCGTTCGTACCAGAAGTGTCCATTTAAAATGTTTTACGCCCTTTACAACATTTAAGAAAAACGGAAAAACGGGAAACCGCACGACCAAAACGGACAGCAATTACCGCAAACGCTCTATCGTCTCCAGCCCCGCGCGGTGCCCTAAACCCTAAACCCTAAACCCTAATACCCCTCCAGTTCTCGCCTCTTTACTTTGTGAGTTGCCTTTTCCTCTATGTTCATAGGCTAACGGACTAAAAATGGGGTAGTTGGCCCTACGGAATTGCCTACCGTAGGCCGTAGGGCTCCTATGACCAAAAAGTCCTAGGATTTTGGCCTACAGTAGGAGGTCCTAGGCAATGCCGTAGGCCTAACTACCCCATTATTAGTCCATGAACCTCTTAATGTGTCTTTTACTTTTTTTCA